CTGTTTATCATGTCCCATATCAACACTATGGAATGCCAGTGTAAGATCAGTGTATAACATAGAACGAGAGGAACAGACAGACGAAAGTTGGAAAGTATAAATAATTTAGTATACGTTTATGAAGATGGCAAAGAGAGTAGAGACTAGAGAGAGAGAGAATATTAGGCAGAATGAGGTGGTAGTCAATAAGACAATGGATGGGAAAGGACAGAATAAGGTAGGGTATAGAGACTAGAGAGGAGAAACAAAACAAAAGAAGACTAACCTGAACCTAAGTCCACTATCCAGACTAGATATCCATTCTGTACTCCCAATGCCACATAGTCACTACCATAGCCTGCTAACTGACCTGTAATTACAAATGATGTCACACACAACATTAGATTTTTTGTCTGTTTGATCATAGACCTTAGAAGACCTTAAGGTCTATGGTTTGATAGAAGCGGGCACATTTTGTTTGTATGAATGGTAATGCATTGAAATTTATAATTTTATCACCGACTAGGTTCAAATAAGCAATTAAATGGATAATACTGAAGGTAATACACAGGATAATAAAACATACACATGGTAAAATAATCTTTTTGGTTATGGAACAGGTATCAAAGATGATTTCAATCCTTGTACAAAAATATAGTACTGTACATGCTGTTTACTTCATCCACCACAAATTGTTATCCTGTTGTCATGTGAATTGGAGAAGACAACATCTGTAGCAGGCAATATGTACGGTAAACCATTTAATTTTCGTTGCCAAGAATTTTTCTGATTTAAGGATTTTATGGCATTTGCGAATATAACATTTTGTGAAAATCACATACACTATATTTTGCGACTTTCTCTCATTTGCGAAATTGGAAAAATCAAAGCAGTTAGAATATAAATCCATGGATTAGATGATTAAATAGATAAAGCAATGATAGAGTGATCTTTTTTGGAAAATCTGTATTAGAAGCCGCGACTTCTTTTAAAATGGTATATTCTGACAGAGGTTTTTATTAGAGCATCTACACATACAGTATGAGAAATGGTGAATTTTTGATTCTCATTTGTTCAAAAAGAATGGGTGCAACCTCTGAGAAATGTGGCTTCTAATATAAATTTTACGGTATTTTTGAAACACTGACAGTAAGCAGGACACTTATTGGTCAACATATTGAAACACACTGTCCACGATGAAACATTGTAGGCACATGACCCAGTCTAAAAACTTACTTTTTTGTCCTGAATACAACATAAGTCCACTGGTCAATGCTCTATCCATATTTTGTAATGTGAACTTTAATCTTATATGGGTCAAGAAATCAAGATTTGGGTCGCGTTGATAGGCAATAAAGGAAGAATATCCAAACTGCAATCCAGAGTAATGTGGTCTGTTGATAGTAATACCTAGGAGAGATCACACATCAAATATAAATCATTGATAAATTGGAATAACATATTCTGGAGTGAAGATAATAAAATTTAGAGTTAGAATAATGGTGTGAATAGTCACTTGTGGTGTCACAAGAATTTATATAAGGGAATACAATTGGTGTGTGATGAAGATTCAACTTTTGAAGTTGTACATATCCCAAAACGATCACAAAATCGCAAGACAAATGTGTAAATACTGAAAATGAGTGAGTTTCTGGGAACTGGGTAGTTTGTCTCGTTTTCTCTAGTGTCCTTCATATTTTCAAAGTCTCTGTTTTGCCTTTTTGAATACGATGATAACCTCTCACCTTTACAAGCATCCACTGTAATCTACAACATCACTGGTCAGAAATACATTCAACACATGCACGATAGTGATGTGAATAGAACCTTCATCACATATCACCATACACAGATAAGCAAAGAGTAAACAAATCTTGGTTGTACTTACTTAGTTCACATGTTATGCCATGTCTACCATATGGACACAGACATACAAATCCTGTTATTACAGATATACATGTAGCACCATGCAGACAGGGATCCCCAACACAATGCTCAATGACTCGTTCACATAGATCACCTTCATAGCCAGTTAAACACTCACAAAACCACTCTTCTGGGTCTTCAGCAGAACTAAGAGATAACAGTCAAAAATTATTAATATGGCCTAAATATTAAATTTTGAAAAATGTAGGCTCAATACTAAAAGTTTCTAAAAAAGTTGACGACGAAGTAGCTGAGGTCATACAAACTGGATTGCATACTTTGTGGAATTCTTCTCTTAATTTAGTAAGAAATAGCATCAAAAAAGAATTTTAGAAGATTCTTGTCTTTGCGTGCTGTGATTCTATTTCCATCACACCCACATTGTTTCCATGTTTGATGTAAAGAATACAGAGTGTTCAAATTCATATTTGAAGCACATTTTCACATCTACCCTAGTCTTTAATCAACACTTTTTTGCCTCTCCCTGATATAAGGAGGTTGACCATTGGAATCTTGAGGGGAGAATGGTACCAAAAAAACTAGTGTCCAAATTACTTTTTTCGAACAGCCAATTTTTTATTTCAGAATGGTCTTTCAGTTTTGTGTTCCTTTATCATAAATGCATGTAATTTTTATCATGAATATAGTTTTCTTCCTGTAATTTTCCCTGTAGAATTTTATTTCACCACCACCTACCCCCCACTTAATTTTGGATGTTAACTTACATTGTACATGTAGCATTATTTCTGCATGGTTGATACTGACACGCATCAACATCACATTCACCGATATTAACACCGGTCACAGCGTCGTCGAAAACATAGTACTCAACATCATTTATCTGCAGATGTCGTATACAGCCAACAAAGTTAATGACAGGTTGACTAGTTGCCATGGCAATCATCCCAAGCGGCACACCACCGAGATACAATGGTCCAAGATTGTTTACTAAACCGAACGTGAAGAAAGAGTCTGATACGGGCAGGTTGTTGTTGACAGTTATGCTGGCTGAACACATGCCACCAAACATACCAGTGGGTTTGCTTTGACTGGAAACAAAAATATCAATTATGCAGGAATAAATAAATATGCATTTATAGTAACAACAGACACAATAAGACGCCAAACAAACTTAACAACTCATGTACATATATTTTCATAGAAATGACGCCTCCAGACAAGAATTATATGACAGTGACTACACGTTTTCTCTCCTGACTTGTTTTATCACATAGCCTGCTGATGCCATTTTTTTCCATTCATTCTATTTCATATCAGATGTCATGATAGAAAGTCAATGCTGCACAATCCTGGTGTTATCTATGCCAAGCTGAACACATGCACAGATGTCTCTTAACCAAGAAAACAAGAAAACTACTTATTTTGCCATATTAATATGTATATTTGCACCCAAAACCCAATAAAAGGTTTATATTTTCACCATGTAGCAATGGGAATTAAAAGAATATCATGCATGTAGGTCTATTATTAAATACATGCAGTATAATAAATGACCTTAACTGATCATCACCCTGTATCATGTTTGATATGAGTCCCATGCTAACAATAAGTTTGAAAATCTTTGTTACACACAGGAGCTTCAGTCAAAATTTCAGGTTTTATGTGAAACGTGTCAAAGGTTGACTTTGATGCTAAAAGGATTACACAGAAATTATAACATATATTGCACCAAGACTGTGATACTTAACAACATTAATAAATGATATAAACTTACCTGATATAAACTTCTTCTAATCGATCTGTACTAACAAATATGCGCGAGTTGATCGTCAATACATTTCCCAATCCACAGTTCATTTGATAATACAATATGCCGTTATCGATGTACAAATGAATAAAGTTACTGGTTGCACTACTGACATCAAAAGCAGAGTACAGTATAGTGCCCTCTAAAGATGAAGTCTTGAAAGTGATGTACAGATCATTGGTTGATTTAGTAAAATCCAACTGAGTATGCTCCAAGTAGGAGTTCCCATTGAATGATGGGAAATGTATCACAAGATCTGTTGGGAAATAAGATAATGTCAGTTTTTGTGTACCAATGTTATCAGTTTAGAAATAATGTCATTAGATTTTTTATACTACAATGCTATCAGCTCAAAAATTATGTCATCAGTTTTTGTGCCCTACAGTGTTATCAGCTCAAAATTATGTCATTAGTTTTTGTGTATTACAATTTTATCAGCAAAGAAATGAAGTCATTGGTTTTTGTGTACTACAATGTAACAAACTCAGAAACGATGGGTAATTATCCTATGGATTTTCTTATTATGACATCATTATTTTATGGGTATTCTTATTATGACATCATTATTTTATGGGTATTCTTACCAAGACATTATCTTATGGGTATTTTTATTATGACATCATTACTATATGGGTATTCTTACTATGAAATAATTATCCTATGGATATTCTTATTATGACATAATTATTTTATAGGTATTCTTATTATGACATCATTATTTTATAGGTATACTTATTATGAAATCATTATTTTATGGGTATTCTTATTATGACATTATTTTATGGGTATTCTTACCAAGACATTATTTTATGGATACTTTTAATATAACATTAATATATATTATTTTATGGGTTTAGGAAAACATCAATATTTTATTATACTAGTAATTCTCAATCACAGAAGAATAACTCGCCTTCTTGGCAGAATGTTCCTTTGAAATGCAATGGACAGTTACATTGAAACTGGACAGATGGCATCACAATATCAACACAAGTACCACCATTTTCACATATGACATCCATGCACGTAGGTGCAATGGTAGGTGTAGGAGTAGTTGTTAGCGGTAGAGTTGTTGGTTGCGGCGGTAGAGTGGGCGCTAATCCACACTGGTAAATACTAGCACCGTTGACTGCGTCCATGAATGTATACAGCAGACCATCAATTTGTAGAGTGCTTATGCACCCAATGAAGTTAGTGAACGCTTGTGCAATATTTAGAGGTTGCATATTGGGTGGTAATCCACCAATGTATAAAGCACCCAGATTGGTCATCTCACACAAAGAGAATGAACATGGGAAGCCATCTTGTTTCACCGTGCCACCAACAATCACAACAGCACGGCAATCTTGAGATTGACTGAGAAAATAAAAACACAATTTTATAAAAATGAGTTGAATTTGGGTATTACATTTTCATGCATTTCTCTACAATTTCTTTGTAAATTTGGACCAAATGGAAATCATTTCCAATTGACGACAGGAGTTATTATTTTTGCTCATATTCCCACAATTCAGAAAAAAATTGTCTTGCACCATTGTACATATTTCAAAAATGTCAGTTTTATTTTCACTACCTGTAAATGTACTTACACGAGAATGACTTCCACTTGCTGTCCAGTATTTACAACAACTCCAGTGTCCAACGTATAGGTTGATATTGTACATGAAAACTGGTACTACAGAAATGAAAACAGTAAGTTAACATTAATGTACAAACACAAAAGCTGTTGGAAAGTAGCTTCTATGGTCTTGCTAAGTTTCATCAATATGTAATGGTGTTTGCACTACTGTAACAATAGAAAATCACAGATCTCCAGGTGTAAAAAGAAAAGTAAAAATAATGGTAACATGATAAGTACACATGTACACGATAATTTATTATTTGTGCCAGCTTTGGTTCTATAAATTTTGGAGAAATCTGTAGTGGACTGGCAGATGGACAAACTGGAGTAAAATTGTCATGACAACAACATTTTGTGATCTTACAAATTTATAAACAAGCAGCCTCTCGGCTGAGATAGCTCCGCTGTTAGCAATGCACATTTAAATTAAAGAACAGAAGATATCAATTTAAAATGACCAATATGCATAGTATCAATGCAATGGGACTTGCTGTTTTCAACAAGAATTCAAAAATATCATTTTTCACCATAAATGATTGTGGTTTTTAACAAGAAGTCGAAAATATCACTTTTTACGAAAAATATTCATAAAAATTTGAGAATTGAAGATATCATCATGAAATAACAAATTTGAGAGTGATCCACATGTAGTACATATATGTAATATAAAAGCAATTGGACTTGTGGTTTTTAACAAGAAGTCAAAAATATCACTTTTTACTAAAAATGACAGAAATATTCACCAAAATTAGAGAATTGAAGATATCATTACAAAATGAACAAATCTGAGAGAGGTCCACATGTAGCACCTATATATGTAATATCAATACAATTGGACTTGCGGTTTTTAACAAGAAGTTGAAAATATCACTTTTTACCAAAAATGACAAAAATATTCACCAAAATTAGAGAATTAAAGATACCATTACAAAATGAACAAATCTGAGAGAGGTCCACATGTAGCACCTATATATGTAATATCAATACAATTGGACTTGCGGTTTTTAACAAGAAGTTGAAAATATCACTTTTTACGAAAAATGCCAAAAATATTCACCAAAATTAGAGAATTAAAGATACCATTACAAAATGAACAAATCTGAGAAAGGTCTACCCAAGGTACATATACACCAAGTATCAAAACATTCAGGCTCGTAGTTTTCAAGAAGAAGTCAAAAAAGTAAAACATTGACACGGACGACGGACAATCACTCATATGATAAGCTCCGCTCGACAAAGTCGACAGCGGAGCTAAAAAAGTGTCTTTTACGAAAAATAATGAAATTGAGTATACAACAGTAAAAGAAAAGCAGAGGTGAGAGGAAACTACCTTCAGAATGCCATCTTCAATGTACATGTGTAGAAAATTAGTTGGCATATCAAGTTCATCTCTATTATAGTCAGCTGCAGAATACAGTATACTGCCCTCAGAGTTCACTGTCTGAAATCTGATAGTTATCGTTGATGTTTCTCCAGTTGCTAATGGTAACGGCAGATATTCAAGAAATGATTCACCAATGAATTCTGGGTTATCAAAATTCTTGCCTAAAAGAGAGAATTTCAGATTAAAATTTGATAGAAAGTACAATTCAAGCTGTATGATTTATATCTGAGTAAAACAACAATATCGCTGATAATTTGTACAATTATCAGAGACAAATGTCACACATCCTGGTACTTACTGGGACATGTGCATGGAACTACAGTTCTGCAAGACTAGTATCAAATTTGATGCCCAATTTAATTCTCATATTCACATACAATTGCACCTTCCTGCCCTATGCTATAAATGGTATGCCCCAGTCTAGAATTTCTGTACATCGTGAAAAATGAACAAAGTTGACAGACTAAGAACCCATTGGCAAGTGTTTTTCAGGCAAGTTACAGAAATACACATTTGGTTTTAGCGTTTACACAATTATAAGCCATGGTTTATAGTGAAATATTCAAATGAGAGACATGCTACATTAGATATAGCTATGGTTCTGCAGTGTTTTGGTCAGGATAGGGCTTTAGTATAAATGAAAGAGTCGATATACAGACCCTATTTGCAAAATAGTAAAAGTGGAGAAAACATTCACACCTATACGCCAGCCATTCCACAGGGAGCGCAAGTTTATGAAACTTGTGATTTGTATTGTAACTACAATTTGACATATAAATCATTTTCATTTTAAATAAATAGTTTATTATGTCACTCACTACATTGATTGCGTACATTAATACGTAACGATATGCATTTATTGAGTTTAATTATGCATGTTTGCATCCCCCTCTTGGATAATGACTTTGTCCAAATCATTTGCGTACATGCCGAACAGTTTGCTAATCAGGTAGCAAATTTGATAACTATCTTGCAAAACTGCAGTTCTATGCGCACATGCCTCACCAGAGAATGACCCTGTGACAGCGACATATCCCAGTGTAGGGATATACAACCTGGTATTTAAACAACCTGGTACATAAATTACCTTTTGAAGGTCGCTCACACTGGTACATAAATGCTCTCTCCCAAAGGTTACATAACTTGGTACCTTAATTGTCTTCTACTAAACATTGCTTTCATATAATCATTTAATATAATATTAATATATGGATTATGTGACTTCAAAATCCTACAAGTAACATGTTACCACTTACCAATCTCACACAAAGTGCCTTCATATTGGAAAGTACATTGACACAGGAAACTCAATTGATCGCCTTTCATAACATCCAAACATGTAGCACCATTCTGGCACAGTCCATTCAGGCATGTAGGGGGTCCAGGTGTAGTAGCTGGAGTGGGTGTAGGTGTGACCATAATAGATGAACTAATATAAGTTGTTGATAGCGATGGCGTTGGTACAATACTGCTTGCAGATGAAGTAATTAAAGTAACTATAAAGAATATAGCAAAATGATTAATATACTTCAACAAAACTAGATCAGAAAGAAAAAAATTATTTGAAAAAATCCCTCATGAGAAAATCTGCCAACACCCACCAAGTCGTACTTGATGCTATTATGGATTATTTATGATACAGTTTTCTAAATTATTTTGTGTAATTTTATTTATTGCCATAAAGGTCATTATAATCAGCCTAATTACCCACATGTTGGAAATTTACATTTTTTTCAGATTGACAGGTTCAATGATCATAAAACCACAACCAACTTATGGCACCTATGTTAGCCGAAAGAAAGGTTTCACTATGATGCATCAATAATGACAATGGGAATTCATCCAATCAATTACGACATTATTTGGTTTTAATAATTACTTCATATTGTTTTCATATTTTGTACTTAGAAAAAATATCCACATTATTATAGTCCTCACAAAATAATGCTTAAACGGATTTAATAAGTATTTAAATTAAGTTAAATTAATTTCAAATAACCTTGCTTTATGTCCCCTTTTCACCTCCAAATTACAAAGTGATAGGAAGGGCCCCCTAAGACAAGATAACAATACAAGGGTGCATGAAGCATGCTTACATTGGTAGCAGTAAGGAACACTTAGGAAGAATATGAAAGGTGATGGTTAGTTTGTACTACAAGTGTGCATCATTACAATATACAGCATTAATATCTAACTCAGTTCTCTAATAGTACCAATAGTTATTTTATATTATGTAACAGTTTTTATTACTAGACAGATAAATACTTTTTAGCACAAGCTGGTTTGACTACTCAGAG